ATTCCCGGAAGTCAGCTAGGTCGCATGTAAAAGCGATTTTTTTTTTTTTTTAAAACTGAGATTGCTTTTACAATCAGAAAGGCTGTAAAAGCAATTATTTTCTCCTTTCCTTCCTGAGCTGCATTCCTGCATGCATTAGAAGAAATTACTATGAAACATGTAATTGATCACAATGTGTCCAAATGTAATCAAAAGGTTGTTGAGGAAATAGCCTATCGTAACGGTGTGAACCTCTTGTGATCATTCATCAGGAATTTTACAAGCTAGTAAAACTTGGAAGTCAAGAAAAGTGAATATCTTGTATAACTACTGATCATGTGGTCATGATTGGCCAATCACACTGATCACATGAATTGGGACCTCACACAGCCCACTGTACCCGTTCAATCAATCTGTGTTCCACAGTGGCAGGTGGACACAGCGGGGTCACAGGATTGTGGCAAATTGAACACACTCAATGGGGGAGCTGCGCACTAACAATGGATGGCGGGGGGAGATGTTTAGAGATAAAGTCCCCCATGCATTGTAGCTCCCTTCCTGCCAATTTATATGGTCATTTCGGGACGGACGGAAAAGAGGTTAAGGAGATGGTCAGCATGAGTTAGGCGTTTCAAGAGTGGGTTAGGTCCGCAAGACAAATGTGAATCCCATAAAATCAATATTGAGTCAACTCCTGAGGGGGTAGTGCTACATAAAGTTATATTAAAGTCATAGCATAATCTCGAGACTTTTAAAAGCTTTTACAAGCTGGACAATAACTATATAGTGCTACTGAGAGTATTGGGTTGATGACAGGTGAGAAATGAGAAGTGTGTGCCTGTGAAAGTGGAACATCTATGATATAACTTTTAACATGGATTGCAAACAGGATTTAAGAACAAGCATTATGCCTAGGGCAGATGAAAAAAATCACTCTGGGACTCTTCACCACTCAAGCCTCTGTTTATTACTCATGAATGCAACACCCCATTCATCTCAAGTACACTAGGCTCCCAATTCACGAACACACTTACGATGTTATACTGTCCATAATAAGATTAGCGAATATATTCAAAAATTCGATTCGGCTGATTCGCCGAATTTGCGGGAATAAATTCGATTCGATGCGATAATTAAAAAAGCGCGAGCGAGAAAGAGCGTGCTGCGAATTTAACTTATTAAAGAAGGGAAAAGGGGTTTTCTAGGCTTCAAGAGGCCATTACTATTAGTGCAGAACACTGTAACCTTGCAGAATTTAAATGACCTTGAGTCTATCTGCTGGGGAAAGAGAAATAATACTGTCAGTCAGTATGACATGCAGATGAGTTGCCGTTTGATCTTAGAATCTACACGCACACATACACTAAATGTTGGGTCAGTCCTACGGGCCAAAACCATGAGTGTGGAGCCACAGAGCTGTGGCGGTGGAGGCACTAGCAGCAATGGAGAGGCCATACAGCAACTATGACAAAATGGAACCCACCAGCAGAGCTGAGGGAGACCTGGGAAAGGTGGCAATGAAACCAGAGGTGGCGAAGTGAGAACAGCATAGCAATAGGGAAAATGTCCGTACAGGGACCCATGACACACTCTGGGCCCTGGCCAGCAGCAATGAGGATGGCGTTCTGGATACAGGGGCCATGGACAAGATTACGGGCCCCTCTTGCAGCACAATGAAAAAGAAAGGCTGCTAAGTTACAGAGATCACCGTCCATACGGGCCATGCAGATTACGGGGCCCCCCTGGCAGCAGCAAGAGGAGGCGTGCGTACAGGGGCCCATGGAGACGTTTGGCGAAGCCGTAAGCAGCTAAAAATTGAAAGGCCCTACAGGTGGCCTATGTTAAAAAGTCCCCCCCAGCAGCAGTGTGTGACCTGGAGACGAACTAACAAGAGTCCAGCTGGCAGAAAAAGAGTGGCGGCAAGCAGAAGCAGCATTCCAATTGAAGAAGAAGAGGATGAGGGTATGAAGAAGAAGACAGGCAAGAAGAGGACTGAAGACAGAAGACGAAGATGAGGTATAAGAAGAATAAAAGAAGAAAAAGGATGAGGAATCTGAGGATGAAGAAGTAGGAAGGAAGAAGAAGAAGAGAGGTTGAGGATGAGGAAGAGGGACTAAGAAGAAAGAAGATAGGCTATATAGGATGCCAAGGAGAAAAAAGAAGAGGATGAGGAAAGAAGAAGACCAAGAAGATGAGGAAGAGAGAAGAGAAGCAAGAAGAAGAAGCAGAAAGATTCAGGTAAGATGATGAAGAAGAAAGAAGAAGAGTGCATGAGGATGAGGAAGAAGAAGAAGAAAGAATAAGAGGAATGAGGATGAAGAAGAAAGAAGAAAGAAGAAGAAGAAAGAGTATGAGGAAGAAGAAGAAGAGGATGAGATGAATGAAACGGGGAAGAAGAATGAGTTATGCCCTGTTGTGATGCAAGAAGAAGACAGAAGAGGATAGGGCATGAAGAAGAAGCAGACAGATGAGCGATGAAGAAGAAGTCACGACGAATGAGGATGAAGATGAGGAAGAAGAAGAAGAACCGTGATTGCCAGGATGAAGAAGAAGAAGAAGAAGATGAGGATGTAAGAAGAAGAAGAAGAAGAAGAAGCCCAGAATGAGGATAAGTAGCCGACGCATGCAAGAAGAAGACCAGAAGAAGTTAGGCTGAGGATGAAGAAAGAAGAATAGAAGAAGAACAGAGAAAGGAAAACGAGGATGAGGATGAAGAAGAAGACAAACGAATTAAGAGAAGAAGATTGGATGAGGATGAAGAATGCAAGCATTAGAGGAATGAGGATGATGAAGCATTCGAAGAAGAAGTAGAAGATGAGGATGATGACGAATGAAGAAGATGGATGAGGATGAGATGAAGGTGAAGAAGAAGATTCGAAGAGGATTGATGGATGAGGCAGTAAAGAAGAAGAACCAAGAGGATGAGGATGAGATGGATGCCCCTGAAGAAGGAAGAAGAAAGAAGAAGAAAGGATGGAGGCATTGCGAAGAAAGAAGAAGAAGAAGATGAGGTGAAGAAGAAAGAAGAAGAAGAGGATGGGTGATGAGGAAGAAGAAGAAGAAGAAGAAAACGAGGATGAGGCATGAGGAAGAGAGAAAGATGACAGAAGAAGAAGAGAGTACATTGGAAGGCATGAAGAAGAAGAAGAAGAATAGGATGAGGAATTGAAGAGAGTAGAAGATGATGAGGATGATGAAGAAGAAGAGAGAGAAGAGGATGAGGATTGAAGATAGAAGAAAGGAGAGGATGAGGATGCAGAAAGAAGAAGAAGTAGAAAGAAGAGGATTGAGGATGAGGAAGAAGTAATGAAGAAGAGGATGGGATGAAGAAGATACAGTAGAAGAAGAGGATGAGTGAAATGATTGAAGGCAGAAGAAGAAGAAGAGTGGGAAAGATGAGGATGAAAAGAAGAAATGTTCGTGGAGGAATGATGTTGATGAAGAAGAAGAAGCAAGGAAGAGGATGAAAGGAAGAAGAAAGCAAGCAGAAAAGAAGAGGATGAGGGATGAAGAAGAGAAGAAGAGAAGAGGGATGAGGATGAAGACAGAGGATGAGGATGAAGAATGCAAGAAGAGGTTTGATGGGTGAGGGAAAGAAGAAGAAGAAGAAGAAGAAGAAGAAGAGGATGAGAGATGATGATGAAGAAGAAGAAAGATAGAAGAAGAAGAGAGCGAGAGATAGGATGAGGATGATGAAGAAGAGAGGAAATGAAGAAGAAGAAGAGGCATGAGGATGAAGAAGAAGAGGCATGAGGCATGCAGAAAGAGTAATGAGGATGAAGAAGCAGGATAGAGGCATGAAGAAGAAGAAGAAGAAAGAGGGATGAGGATGAAAGAAGGAAGAAGAAGAAGAGGATGAGGATGAAGAAGTAGGTAGAGAAGGAAGAAGAGGGATGAGGATTAGGAAGAAGAAGAGGAAGAAGAGGAAGAAGAAGTAGGATGAAAAATAAGAAAGAGATTTCCAGTAACAGCAAAAAGTGTATCTCGCAAGTGAGCTCTCCGCTATTTCTGACAGGTTCTTCTGACAGTTTTCCCTTCACATTTACAGCGGTTGAAACAGTGTATCTATTTGTTTCCGAATAAAAACATCTGTATCCTAAATGGAAACAAATAGATACAATGTTTCAAAAACCGCTGTAAATGTGAAGGAACTGTCAGAGAACTGTCAGAAATAGCGGAGCTCTCTGGCATGGACACAGACATTTTTGCTGGCTGTAGAAGGGATGGAAATCGGACACGATCGGCGGGAAAATTCGATTCGTGCATCCGAAGTTTGCTAATTTTCCGATTCGGCGCGAATCGAATTTTTCCTAATATTCAAAACGAATTCCCACTTCGCCAAGTTCGATTCGGCTCATCTCTAGTCATAACTTTCTGAATCAGAATGCACGGCATCATCACATAACTTTGTTTTATGTGGTACCTTACATTCTAAATGGCACTCCAACACAATCTTTCCAACAGATGTTTCATTGCACCACAACATTTGTGGTAATGCACTACTTGTGCATTGTAGTGTGCTGTGTTACAGAAAATACTAAATGCATCTTTTTAGTGTGTTTTGCGGTGCATAAGGCAGTCCATTTGGGATTGACTTAATACAGCTCCATCCTAGTGCACAGCATTAACACACATGCACAAATGCAGAACAATTGTCGGTGAACAGGGCCTAACAGAAAGTAAAGCTCCTCCAGTTTGAGTATTCTCACTGATCTCATCGTATTAAAGGTTTCCTCAATGAAAAAACAAAATTGCTGGTAGTATTTTTGCATGGTATAGCCAAGTCTTAAAATGGGGATCTCTCTTGTACTTTAAGGCTTGAGTGTAACAAGTGTAACTTGAGTGAATGCTAATCTCTTTTATCTGGTGGTTAGAATTTGAGGAATGCAAGATTAGAACCTAAAGCCCATGAACTTGACTATACAATGGGGGGAGAAGTAATTTGATTCCTTGCTGACCAAAAATGTCTCAGGGCTGGTGACAATAAGAGACGGGAAAACATGATTAAACTGTACTTAGCAGGGGCGGACTGACCATTTGGAAACTCGGGCACTGCCTGAGGGCCTGGGGGTCAGTAGGGGGCCCCATGAGGTGCCCCCTGTACCTTTTTCATAGGCTTTTTTGAGTTTGGGCAAGGACACAGGGGCCCCATGATCCCCTATTGCCCGGGGGCCCCATGAGTTTGTCAGTCCACCCCTGGTACTTAGTGATCTGTTACAGGAAAATTGCTTATTTATATCTTCACTTTTACCCAACCTTCATGCCTACAAATGTTTTACAATCCCTTGAGATAGCATGGAGCATAACCTGAACTCCTCCAAGCTCATCCCTCCTCTGGCTTCTCAGTTAGGCTAGGTTCTTATAGATGCGGTGTGATTTTCCTGCCAGTTTCGGTGTGATTTTAAGGGTAGTTGTTTCAGCAATTCAGTTGTAATTCTGATGAGATTTGGCAGCATTCTTAGTCTCTTTCTCTCTCTCTCTCTCTCTTTCCTGACATGGGCCAGGGATAGGAGATAACAAAGCAAAGATTTGCTGAAAATATACTGGAATGTGTTATCTTAGGACCTACTATATAAGTGATTTCCATTCAAGTCATGTAGCTACAAATCGCACTGCACTGCACTAAACTCGCACAAGACCCTTTTTTAAAATCACATAGGAATTGCACTACATATACGTGAATGGTCTCCTTAGAAACTCATGTTATTTTGTCATGCCATTCCATGCATACTGGAATGCATCAGAAATCCCATCAGTGTGAACCATGGCTTAACCACTTGCCAACCGCGATATAGCGAATGACGGCTACAGAGCGGTTGTCCAGTTCTGGGAGGGAGTCATATGACGTCCTCACAAAACGTGCCCTCCAGTGCACCCCCAGTGGCCTACGGACACAGCTGATCACATGATGAGGTAAAAGGCCAATCACAGCGGCCTTTTACCACGTGATCAGCTGTGTCCAATGACTCAGCAGATCACAGAGTAAATACAGTTGCCTGTTATCGACTGCACTTTCCTCACGCTGTCACAGTGTGAGGAAAGTACTGCCGATAACCAGCAACTGTCACAGAGCAGATCGGCACTGATCATCAGGGCATGGATGATCAGTGCCCAGCAGTGCCGCCCACCAGTTCCCAGCAGTGCCCTCCCACCAGTGCCCAGCAGTGCCCCCATCAGTGTCCAGCAGTGCCTCCCACCAGTGCCCAGCAGTGCCCCCCACCAGTGCCACCCAGCAGTTGCGCCTATGAGTGCCCAGCAGTGCCGCCCATCAGTGCCACCCACCAGTGCCCAGCAGTGTCTCCTACCAGTGCCCAGCAGTGCCACCCAGCAGTTGCGCCCATCAGTGCCCAGCAGTGCCGCCCATCAGTGCCACCTATCAGTGCCCATCAGTGCCCATCATTGCTGCATATCAGTGCAGCATCATCAGTGCCTCCTTATCAATGCCCACTCAGTGCCACCTCATCAGTGCAGCCTATCAGTGCCCATTAGTGCTGCCTATCAGTACCACCTCATCACTGCCCATCAGTGCTGCCTATCAGTGCCCATCAGTGCTGTGTATCAGTGCAGCCTCATTAATGCACATCAGTGAAGGAGAAAAATTACCTGTTTGCAAAATTTTTCTAATAGAAAAAAAGAAAAACTTTTTTTTTAAATGTTTTGCTCTTTTTTTGTTTATAGTGCAAAAAAATAAAACACCCAGTGACAATTAAATACAGCCAAAAGAAAGATCTATTTGTGTGAAAAAAAATAATATAAAAATGTCATATGGGTACAATGTTGCATGACCATGCAATTGTCATTCAAAGTGTGAGAGTGCTGAAAGCTGAAAATTGTGTGGGCACGAAGGGGGTAAAAGTGCCTAGTAGGCAGTGGTTAAACAGCTGCTGATAGTGAGAATAGATCAGCATTAATAATAATAATGATAATAAAATATTTAAATTGTAGGAGCCTTTCACAGCACCCAAGGTCACCTTACAAGGATAGCAACAGAGAAACAAAAAATAAATAAATACAAGAAATATTCATTACATGAACATTGATTACAAAACAAATTAATTAAGTTAGAGTATGCTAGATTAAAAAGATGAGTTTTCATATGTGATTTAAAGGTGGGGCGGAAGTCAATATTGAAGATGTCAGGTGGAAGAGTGTTCCAAAGTTGGGGAGCAGAGCGGCTAAAAGGCTTTCACTTTCATAGTGGTCAGACAGATGGATAGAACATTGAGGTGGATGGAAAAAGTAGACCTACAGTAATAGTGGGGGAGGAGGGTCTGTTAATATGCAGGAATTCAGAAAGATAAGGAGGAGCAAGGTTGTGGATTACTTAAAAGTAACAGAATCTTGAAATCAATACAATATTTGACCAGAAGCCAGTGGAGATGTTGAAGGACAGGAGTGATATGATTAAAGAAAGGGGTTCTGGTGATGATGTGAGCAGCATAGTTCTGAACCAGTTGTAGATTATGGAGGAGCTCGAGAGGCAGACCAAAGAGAAGGGAGTTACAGTAACCTATACAGGAAACTACTGGAATATTAAAAGGGCTGCATATAATGCTCAATACATGTGATGCTTGAGAGGACAGCCAGATTGCATTTTCTGGCCTGGAGATATGCTGCAGAAAATAATACGAAACTGGGAGAGACTAGTACAGATCAGTGCTATTACCCCTGATCATTGTTCCCACTACAGACTGCTGAGGTCTGAGCGACACACATTCCATACCAAAAGGCCACATGCAGCCCTCGGGTCACAGAGGGCACCAGGGGCCTAGGTCACCCACTGGAGATCTGGCCTGGACTAACATTGTTAGAATATCCTGTATACATAATTTTCCTCTTGTTTCAAAAACGTATTTTGATCAATCCAAATGATAGCAATTTTACCAGCATTCCTGCTTCCTGTAATATTTTGGTAATTTTTCAATGCTCAAAGCATTCATATTCTATTTAAAATGTCCTCATATTATGTGAAGATCCATACTGAATTTGTAAATTTATATTTTAGTATTTGACATTTTGTAAAAATATGCTCCACTACCTTTTTATTTCTTAGTCCACACTGGCAGTTGTCTGCTTCCTCCTCTATATAATGCTTCAGTCTATTGTTACCTTAGAAAAAAAAGTATTTACTTTTTTCCTAACAGTGCTATATCCTTGTAATTTGCATATACTGTCAGAAACTACAAATCCTTCTCCCTTTTTCCAAATATTTCTGCTGCGTTTGTGTCTTCACTCAGAATCTTGTTTTTGTTAAGATCTTTAATAAATCAATATGTTTGTTACATATCCTACTTCTATTTTGATCCTTTTTTATGCTATTTCCATTTAGCTTTTCCTCAACAATTCAATCTTTCCTTAATTTGACTTTTAGTTCCTGAGGTCACTTCTCTACAAATGTCTACTCCTATTTTTTTTCTAACTCCATTATTACATGTCCCAAAGTCTCTTTGTTCATATGCTTTTAATATTCCATTTTCTTCTTTTTTCTGCCTTCTCATTGCCTCTTCGTCCTACTGTGTAACTTATTAGCTTCTCTTCTTGCTGCTCTGTATTCCTATACATTTACTCCTGTTCGTCTATTCAGCATTTTTATTTTCATTCTATTTTTCACCTCCATTATCATTTGACAGTTTTCATCATAAAAGTCCTCTTTTCCTGCCCTCTTTGAGTATGCAATTGTCGGCCCCTGGCTTTACAATTGCTTTCTTAATTTGCTTCAATCCTCCTTACACATCTGAACCTTCCACTTCCTGCCAATATTGTTCCCTCAAACTTTATTTTTTTCAAACTTCCTATATCATTTTGTCTCATTTTTGCCCAGGTTTCCAAATTGACATTCATTTTTTTTTTCAAATTAATCCATATACCTATGCATATATTTCTTCTTTATATACAGATATATGTTCTTTCTTTTAAAGTGTTATTTATTTTTATTGTTATTCTTATGGTAATTGTAAGTGCCTCTTATCTGTTATTATTATTTTCATGTTAGCTTTGTATGCCTATGTGCAGTATACCGATTTTTTTCTCATCCATATATTGCAATTAAATTACCCAATAATGTTTTTGTATTATTTTGGGGCTTAGGTATGTATCTCTTACAGTTTATCATAAACCAAATCCTTAATTTCCATTTCCATTTTGTTGAGTACCTGTAAAGCTGAAAGCATGGGCCATAGTACAATATCTCTCGTAGTGCCTTCACTCATTTGAGTGCAAGCAGGACCACCAATTCTGATTAACCTTGTCCCTAGGCATATTACTTTCTCAAATCTCTTGCAGTAAAGGGAGTCCAGTCCATAGATGTTTTTTGAGAGTTTATTGCAGAAAATAAAGTTCAGGGGTGGGTGAAATACCAAAATTGTAGTAAATCTTCTTAAGGCTGACAGTCCCTGAATTTAGATCGGATTTCTTCTGTGTACAGCAGACAGAAGCAGCATCTAATACAAAGCAGGTTTCAGCATTTTCTGTGTTCTAGGTAGGCAACTATAGCATCAGAGCAGTGGAAGTTCTAGTGTGACTCAATTGTCCTCAGCAGCAGGATCAGCATGGGTTAGGACCCTTTTAATCAGGTATCACTTGGTGGCTCCAGAGAACTGAGGCTCTTAGGGCCGCAGACTCCGATTTCAGGCAACAGCCCATACACAAAAGACCTTTATAGAAGTGTGCTCAGGATGTTTGTTGAAGTCGTGTCTAACCTACCTCAAAAGCTCATCAGTAATTGAATGCTATTAAACAAACATGCAAGTTTAGTTAATGCTGCATCTCTGACTCAGCCCTCTGAATCCCTCAGTTGAGTCTGGCAGATAATACAACATAGAACCTGAAAAAACTCCAATGGAGAAATCACACCACTACAGCAAAAACAGAAATGCACATATCAGGGGCGGACTGACCATTTGGAAACTCGGGCACTGCCCGAGGTCAGTAGGGGGCCCCATGAGATGCCCCTGGTACCTTTTTCATAGGCATTTTGAGTTTGGGCAAGGACACAGGGGCCCCATGATCCCCTATTGCCCAGGGGCCCCACGAGTTGCCAGTCCACCCCTGGCACATATGCATATATATATATATATATATAATAAATATATGAATAGTGTAGACATGCAAATACTCCTTCCTCTGCGGTTTACATGCTTTCTCTCTGACATGGCTATAAGTGATGTTTTACTGTCTCTGTACTTTAAGAATTATCCCTTTAC